CTTATATATCATGGATATGGTCTTCCGCGACATCTAGTGTAGGAGTGAGAAACAGAGAACGTAACGGTAGGTATGTCTGTGCGTGAGAGGAAGAATGTACCACAATGAGAGTGAAGTAAGAAAGAAGAGAAAAGAACGAATGAAATAATCAATACATACAAGAGAGACCAGCGAGATATAAAACACATTAATATGATCTTAGTAAGAGTATATATAAATAGATAGGACTAAGAAGAGAGTGAAGCTAATAGGATAGTACTATAGTAATACTATAAGATAAAATATAGTAGGTAAAAGAATAAGATGAAAGTTTCTGAATCATAAACGATGTATATATGAAAGCTATATGATATAAGTAGATATATATATATTTTTATAGCGACATATAAATATAGTGACGTGAGTATATTAATGAATAGTGATAAGAGTAAACAGATAGTTATGATGATACTAGGCTGTATAATATAGTGTATATATACATATTTAGCGATATATGAAGATACATCTATATATAAAGATAGTAAGTAAGATAAGTAATATAGACGTATATATCATATCAATAAGTATATATTAGTATATGATACTATATATATATATTATAGTAGCATGTATAATAATATATAATAAGGTATATAATTATAATATCAGTATAGTATAAGCTGATATAAATTTGAATCGAGTAAATATAATAGTATACGAGAGTATATATACTATCAATACGATACTAGCCCTATGAGCATTAATACACTATATAGTAATCATTATAGTATATATATAGGCGCTGACTAGTACATATATATAGTATATTGAGTATAGCTATTACCATGTAGTGAATGTTATATATAAGTACGAAATACATAAGTGAAGCATAGTAAAACTCGTACGTACCAGATGGAGATCAGTAGTGCGCCGGGTATAGTGTATATAGTGAGCTCAGTATAGCCGGACTACCCGAGTATAATAATATGATATGTATATACGTATAATAAAGAGTGTATACATAGTATATTAGTAATGTCGTATATCTATAGAATATAAGATAATAATATATACTATGATATATATAGCATCACACACACACGAGCGACAACAATCAGCATATATAACATATAATATGAGTATTATATAGTATATATAATATAATGATACTGATAGAATAGCCCTAATATATCATATAAAGTGTATATAAGCATTATATATGAGCTAAATAGATATATAATATAGATATATAGTATAGTATAGTATGTATGTAGGTGAGAGTGAGAGTGTGAGAGGATACATATATTATGTAATATTTATGTATATATGTATTATAATATGATGTACATATCTATATCAATAATATCCATATAAATAAAGTAGTTAGTAGAGCGAGTAAAGTATGAGAGTTTATATAGTAGACTTATACATAAATTAAGTTATATAGAGAGACAGATTATGTGAGGTACATATAAATAGTATATATAATAGTATGTATGATATATAGCGCTCAATATATATACTAGGTATAGAGTAACTGTAATAGTCAATAAATACGTACATACGTAATATCCATGATAGAGGGTTAATGTACAGTAAAGTAACATAAGAGAAAGGTAATATGAGCATATATATTATAACATAGTAGTAGGATTAGACTATTACACTATATGATATAAAAATATATAGTATAGCGATAGGATGTAGTATATGTAACATAGATAATATTGAGCAAGAACCTCATACATAAATATAGATAGGGTATAACTATAAGCAGATAATACTAGAGCGTATAACCGATACTTTAGTATGAATTATAGCGAGGAGTATATAAAGACGCCGTTGTATAATTATAGTGTGTATGATATATAAGAGGACAGGTAATAAATAGATATATATGAATCATATATACTAGTAAAAACAATATGTATGTATGATATATATGATTATATATATATGTATAGATATATGCTATACGAGTATAGAATGGGTTATAGAGTATATACAGTATAATATGAAAATAAACATATAGTATTACTGCAGTAGTACCATATATATATGATGTTATGTATATAATAACATACAATAATGTATGTATACAGCGTGATTAATTAAGATATTAGTAGCACAACTTAGTATAGGAGAGAGAGTGAGAGTGAGTGAGCAGTTAGACATACAATATATAACCCTATAAGATAAAATATGTTAGTATAAGTAAGGTATAGAAGAAGAGTGAGATATATGATAGTAAAGCGATCACTAAAGTTATGAGGTAGTATAATTAAGAGTATGAGCATAGTAATAATAGATAGTACATATTAAAGAATCTATTAATAATTACATATATATATAATGACAAGAGATAAAGAAGCGAACTAATGAAATAGATAGGTATAGTAAGTTTACACAGGTGGAGATATAAGAAGACATACACACTATTGATTTACGAACAGACTAAGATATAAATGGAATGAGTTATAATTAAGTATGATATGAGGTAGATAGCAGTATAATAAGTAAAGCAGAATAGGAAGTCGAGATTTGATTAATATATATTTTAATATTATACTATATTGTAATATATTATATGTAAAAGAATGTAATATACATAAGTATGTATATAGAAATGAATAATTATTTACTATATATTAGTAAACATATATAATAGTAAGAATAAGTATAATAAGTAAGAGATTATATATAAAGAGCTAGAGCACAACTTATAGACAAATGAAGGATATATATGATAGAGAATATTAAGTATAATGATATATATATGAGTAGTATAACATGTAATATAATTATTAAACTAATAATAGTGAATTATAGAGAGTAGATAGATATAAACTAGACAGATAGCGAATAAATATATATATATTATGAGTAAAAGTATATTAGTAGTAATGAAATAGAAATAGCAGATATATTAATATTATATTATATATAGTATAGATTGAGATAAATAATTATATACGTGTACTAATATACATATACACTTAAAAAATCAATATATAATAATATAGTATTAGTATAAGATAGTAGTAATTATATAAATAGTACGAGATGAGAGGGAGGAGGACATATTCTACCATATACAGTATGATAACTTACTACTCATCATAGATCAATCACACCATATTATATATACATAGTATATAGTAGTAGAGAGAAATAATATAGAATGGTTATACATAGCGTATATAGTATACGTAGTGAACTAGAAGCGACAGGAGTAGAGAAGTATAATGTTATATTATAGTCAGACTAGATAGAGATATAGAGAAGTAGAAGCGGAGCGACACTAGTGGAGATCGATAATAGAATAACCCGTGTATATTTATAATTATGATATTAATGAAACTGTGAGACTATAGAAGCAGATATATAGAGTAGAATGGTTAGTGAGAAGAAGTAATAAAGAATACGATCGTATAATATAACATAAATAAGTAATGAGTATATAATAGACTGAGAAGGAAATCATAATATATAGGTACGCATACTATATAGATGATAGTGAGTAAGGTATAATGTAAGCACGACATGTATAAAAGTGTATAGAAGAGAATGGATAAAGAGCAACTGAATAACTAAAGTAAAGTGTAAGTAAGAATAAGAGCGAACAAAGGAGGAAGATGTAAGATGATAATATATAGAGTGCGAGACAAATAGAATAGGAATAATAGATATGTGAATGATCAAAACAATAAGTGAGGTAATATGATAAAAGTAGTAATAGAAAAAAAAATTCATAATATAGAAGATCAATGAGTAATATAAATGTATGTGAAGAGAGAGTGAGAGAGAGCATATTAAATGTAAGTAATAGGTGCTCATAGGAAGTGTACTAATCGCTCACAATAGGACTGATTACGTGTATAAGATATTGAGTCTCAAGTATTATGATGTAATAAAAATACTATCAGAGTAGTGAAATCCTTTAGTAATCGGTTATGATACTTTAATTGATTTACAATATAATAGTTAAACAGTATTCTCAGATTTATATTTATATTAAATATATATAAAAGTGATATACTTTTTTATAGATATGAGATATATTATACTGTTGTGGTGTTTTGAGAAAAGCGAAAACAAGAGAGAGAGAAAGCGAATCAAGAGAGAGAGAGAGAGAGAGAGAGCGAACAAAGAGAGAGAGAGAAGAGAAAAGCGAACAATAAGAGAGAGAGAGAGAAAGAGCGCAACAAGAGAGAGGAAGCGAGAAAGACGAACAAAAGAGAGAAAAGCACAGAGAAGAGAGAGAGAAAGACGAACAGAGATGAGGAAAGACGTAATACTTAAGGAGGAGAGAGAAAGGAACGCGGAAGAGGAGATCAAAGCGGGATGAACAAGAGAGGGAGCTAGCACAAGAGAGAAAGAGCAACAAGGAGATTGACTGAAGAGAGAAAGAGCGGAGATACTCAGTGAAGAGGAGATGGAGAGAGAACAGGAGATAGCAAGGCGCGGGAGGGAGGGAGAGGAGAGAGAGAGGTAGACAATAATGAAGAGAGGAGGGAGGTGACCCCATGAAAGGAGTGAGACACAGTGTAGAGAGAAAATGTCAGCGAACGGAGACAACGAGCAAGAGAGAAAGACGCTTGAACAAGACGAGAGGAATAGGAAGAGCGAAAAGAGAGGCGGTATGAGAGAGGAACAGCGCTCGAACAAAAGAGAGAGGAATAGCGCGTTAACAAATCGAAACGAGGGGAGAGAGGAGAAGACAAGAGGTGCCGACTGGTTAGAGTCCGGGTTCAGTTGTGCTTGTATTGTTGTGGTTGGCTGGATATGATGGGGTGAGTGTATGTGATGTGTGTTATGAGATCTGTGATTAGTCGAATGATTGTAGGTAGTAGGTGATTGAAGGTTGAAGTTGGAGGGGCGAAACAGAGAGGAAGGTGTGTGGTGAGTAGGCGTAGAAGTAAAAAGCATCGAAGCTAAGAGGTAGTGGAGAGAAGAGAAAGTGTGTGGCGGGTAACATAGTCAGAGAGATGGGAGTGTGGGGAGAGAGGTGCGTGTTACGT